TGGCTATTGATTAGTGTAACATTTTTTTTGTTCCTGGGTAGTGTTATTTTCCTAATTGTTTATGCCTCAAAAGTACAGAAAATGGCTACTATTCCCCACAAACTTAGCTTTTGTGACCAAGACAGTGATATTTTGAAATTTACCTATTTTCAATGAGAAAACGGGCGAATGTGTCTTTTCGTTCACATAAAGTCAAAATGAACATGGATTTATACTAAAGTAATCAAAAAATGACAACGAAAGATTTATAAACCAAGGCGCACTACCACAGGCGTGACTGGCCACAGGAACAACGTCAAGTGGGAGCCACTTGTGGACCCCCAGAAGGTGCTGATGCCACCACTGCACATCAAATTGGGCCTTGTGAAACAAGTTGTCAGAGCTGTAGATAAGGGGTCGGTAGCCTTCAAGTACCTTCAAGACTTCTTCCCTAAGCTGTCTGAGGCAAAGGTCAAAGCCGGTGCCTTCGTCAGACCACAGATAAAGAGGATCCTGGAGTGAAATGAATTCCCCAAGAAGCTCACTAGTAAGGAGAAAGCGGCTTGGAACAACTTTGTCGCAGTGGTTCGTGGCTTCCTGGGCAATCACAAAGTTGAAAACTGTGTGGAGCTGGTTGAGACTCGAGTGAAGAACTTCGGCACAATGGGCTGTAGGATGTCCCTCAAAGTCCATATCCTTGATGCTCATCTTGATAAATTCTAGAACTTGGGAGCATACTTGGAGGAGCAAGGCAAGCGCTTCCACCAGGATGTTCTGGACTTCGAATGCCGCTACCAAGGACAGTATAACAAGAACATGATGTGAGACTACATTTGGGGACTGATTCGTGACAGTGATTTACAGAATAATCGTAAATCTCGAAAAACTACTCACTTCTGAATCTTTTATAGTCATTTTTGTATTACTTTAGTATAAATATGTTAATTTTGATTCTTGTTTTTTTTTCTGACTTTATGTGAATGAAAAGACACAAATTCGCCCGTTTTCTCATTGAAAATAGGTACATTTCAAAATATCACTGTCTTGGTCACGAAAACAAAGTTTGTGGGAATAGCCATTGTATAGACTTTTTAGGCATAAGCAATCACGAAATAACACTTACTACCCAGGAACAAAGATTGTGTTACATAGTGTTATATAACACCATCTTGTCATGCCAATATAAAATCTTCTCAACAGTTTCATCATAACAAAACATGTGTGCATGAGCTTATAATTAGCATTTACAAGTTACAAAAGGTTTGCTTTGGCTTGAAAATGTCAGAAAATGTATAAGTGATGAATGGATTTTTTTATTTGAATAAACACTGTCTGCAGCAAAAAATGCCTATATAAGTCCCCACTTTAATGTAGTTTACTTTATGGTTCTAGAAATGGCACCATATGGCCAGCCAGATGCTGTTTTTAATTAATGTTTCAATGCATGTCGGACACATTAAGCTCGTTTCCTTCTCAGAGAGCAGCGACTACTTTAGTTGCTGTGCTTAATAACTGCATATGGAGCACAAATTAACATTCGAATGAGTGCGTGTTCATCCACGCCTTTATGCTGACATTTCCCGACAAAAAGTTTCAGCACATTTATTCATGCAACCACAAAATACCTAATTAACTTACCAACAATTTAAACCACTAGTCAGAAGCACTTTTTGTGGTATATTTTTGTTCCACATGTGATAGTAATGAAGCTGTGAGAAATTACTATTTTCTAAATTATTTACTTTTCATTCTTACAAGATGAGGCATGTTTTGTCACCCGCGATATAATTTTCACATTCTATTATCATAATTCAATCAAAATCAATCGGAATGTGGACAATGTGTTTTTTAAACAAAACATTAGCCAAACATAGGGTTAAGCTTATAACAATTATGGATACGTTTGTTAAACATAAAAAAATGCATTAAAATGTTTTGTTGGTATAAACATGGCAAATATCAATGCTTATAAATACAACATACTATAGTTTGGATTAAGACACCATTGAAATGTGACTGTAGCCCAAGATGCTGTACAGAAGCAGTGACCGTGTTTATTTTATACAGAAACAGTCAATCCTCTGCGGAGGAAAAACAATCACGTCTTGAGCATGGATTTAGACACGGACTTGACAGCATGGATGGCAGGGGGAAGTGAGTTGCAGATATGTGGGCAGCAGAGGAGAATGTGTGACCTCCCTATGAGCAAAGGATGACTAGGGGCTTAAATATAAATCCTTGGTTAAACAGTGGTGTTTACTGCTGGGGAGCGGTAGTGTAGTGGTTAGCATGCTGTGCTATGAACCCAACAACCCAAGTACGGGTCCCACTTACGACCAAAACTGGTGATTATCTGAACCAGGCCTGCGCCTCCCCTAGATCGACTCAACGTTAAACGAGTACCTGGTGCTGTGCTAACGTCACCACTTGGGAGACAAATGTGGGCAGGCGTGATTTCTGGCCACCCACTCCCTCATTTGCCGTGCCAGCCTACGTAGTTGCTCATTAACAGCACTTGCCCCAAGAGTCTGTTAAGCCTATACGGGGGAACTTTTGTCGTTACTACTGGGGAAAACCATTTGGTAACACTCATGAATATGAGACATCTGACAATACATTGAGAATAGCGGACGTAAAAAGTTGGATGAAGGTTGTCCACAGAAGAGCGAGCAAATGGGATTATTTTTCAAGCATATCTAAAAACTTGTGTTGAATTTTAAGTGGCATGCAGCAACAGTTGCATACGCTGTTAAGGATAAAATGCACCCGGCAAAGCATACAGTACACTATTTGAATTTTCAATTACATTTATAGTTTACTTAATAAAAAAACAATGACCGTTATTTTACACTCAGGCATGTGCAATGGAACGCTGCTGTGTTTATGATTAGCCCACTGGACCTGTAATCCAGCGGTCGGTGGGTCGATTTCTCCGCACTCCTGTGGAAACAATTGGGAGTTCCCTAATCCACTGCTTCCAAGTTATTTGGCCAGTGGAAGAGTAGGCCAAAATACATTATTGAAGGGTTATCTAGCACTCCCTCTAATGGAGGCCCTTTTGGCAGTAGTGGCACAAGCAAATAATTCCAGGGTCACGCCTTTACCATTACTCTGTACATGTAAAGCATATCTTTCTCACTGTTCAGCACTGTTCGCTTTTCAATTGTATTCTCACGATTCCATTCCAGAATCAATTACTTTGCCAATGTGAATATAAAACCTGTAGAGAAATGGTTTCCACAGACTACACTGGTGGTGGTGGTCCGCAAGATCGTAGATACGATTTTTTTTTACCGCACAGCGGAATGCAAAAATGTTTTAACCCGTTGATGTGAACATATACGTTTATTGGATGGTGTTGAATAGTGCTTAGATCAGTGAACATCATGCATAACATGTTATATGCTATGGGGATAGATTGTAGGCAGTGCAGCAACATCTATTTGTTGTACTGTATTTCTTTGCTGCCACAATTTTATATTGCTCTCCACCTTCAACCCACACTGACCTTATGCTATGGTTCTTTCAGTAAAGTCACGTAGATAGAAAAAAATTACAATAAAATACAAAATAAAGTGAAACGTTGTGATATTTTTTTTATTTTATTCACTTTCTTTTCATTTGTATCTATTTTATTATTTTTTCTATCTACGTGACTTTACCTAAAGAACCATAGAATATTAATTCCTGCAGTCACGAAAGTTAAATCACAATTCCACACTGACCTGTTTAAAGTATGGTCAAATACCCCCCATGACCCACATGGCATGGGGAAGCCACCATTTAGCAGTGGAATGACAAATGAATATGCATATAATATGCACATAAATTATTCTACTTGTGCAAGCACAATTGGAAACACGAACCACTCGCACAATGTTCAAGGTATACAGTGCTCTATGTAACCTAAACAAAATCACTCATTTGCAGTATGTCAGCTATTTTGTAGGTGAAGTCTTTAGACAGAGCTAGCTTGGTACAGACATGACCATAATCGTGTTACATTCAAATACCCTTACCCGATGTATAATTAGGACTATGTATTCAATGTATTAATAATTTACATTTGTAAGGCGCATTTCATCATCAGATCCCAATGCGCAATGTATGAAAAGTAGGAAATAGAACCAGGGTAAACGGCCAGAACTAGGGGATAAAGGCCAGTTCAAAGAGGTGGGTTTTTCAGACCGACTTAAATATAGTTAACGATTCTGAATGTCGTATTAGCAAAGCGTTCCAAATATTGGGAGCTGCACTGGCAACAGCCCGATCACCACAGGAAATGAGCTTGGAACCTTGGAGTACTTAGAAGGCGGTCCCGGAGATCTCGGGGACCTCGTTGCTGTATAAAGCGTGGATAAAGTTTTACTGGGGGAAACTAAAATAACTTGGGCGCCAAATAGGACTAATGAATCTATTTAGGGCAGGTGACAAATGCAAACATCTAGAACAAGGGTTTCCACTTACAGCATAGGCTTGCACATGTGATACGATTTAAAAAACAAAAATTTACTTTAAACTTAAACAATACAATTTCAGGAGTGCAGTACTTTGTTGTTGTATTATACATAGACAATCTAAATATATAAACTCAATATCCCCTTGTTCGAAACTGTCACATTGCTATATAATAAAAAGTTGGGTAATACACACCTCAGTAAGTCACTGGTTTAATTTGTGAATTGGAAAGGATATTGTACGGTTTCTGGCTTTTATTAGCGTTTCAAAAATGCAGGAAATTAAACGGTTAAAAAGTTGCAGTCCATTTCGAAATACATTTGTACCGTTGATACAAATTCTTTAAATTTCTCTGTAATGTCAAGACTAGTATAAAGAGTATATGGTCAATAACTTGCCAGCTCAACTCTCTTGTGCACACTTTTTTTTATTGACGTTTCAGTTTTGAAGTGTAAAATACCGAGTACAGTAAAAATGAATTCACAGCAAGCCTTTCATATACAATTCCAGCACAAAAGTTTTTTGTAATAAAACAAAACCATTGGCGAAATCTTGTCATTTACCTTGATGCGAGGCCAAACTTAAGATAGTAATGGATATATGCAGGGCTTGTCACCCTTTCCAGAATAATTGTATCTGTAGTCGTTCCATTGACCCTGTTAGGTACAGAGATAATGCATTAAGATTTTCAACCTTGTAATGTGTTTAAAGGCCAATTCATAACAGCCTCTAGGTGTAAATCAAAGTACTGCTCTAGGCACGAATTTGCTGTGTAGATATAACTTCACTTCTTTTCTTACCCGAACGGTGATGCAGACGTGACAATATCACTGACGATTGTTTCTAGGGCAAAGCTTATTTGCCACTAAGGGTGAGAGGGAGATTAAACCAGTCCCTGTAAGTTAATGGTTTTGCTGATCTTCTGTAATTTGTACTTTAGCAGGAAGCCTACATTATAAGGCACTTACAGCTAATTCTAGATTTACAGCTCTTACAGCTAACCATACGACGCCACAAAAGCTTTGAACTCTACGCTGGTTGTAAATGGCTGTGCTAAGACTTTTGGCACCCGTTTACAATCTAGTGTTGCTCATGAATAGTCCTTTAGATTGCTACTCGAGTGGTCCCAATAATTGAACATTGTTTCGGTTGGGTTTTCAATTTGGAGAAAATTACGTCATTACTTTTTCTACGTATTGCTTGCTATTGTAGAATGAGTAAGTGGCGTCACGTGCGCTGTCCAGTGCGATGACGTCGCAAGACGTGACGTCATGAGCTCGGGGCAGCAGAATGACGTCACGGCTCAAGGATTAAGGGGGGACCCCGTGACGTCAGCGGGGTCGTAGCTGGAGAGTAGGGTCGGAGAAGGCTGGAACGTGGGAAGCCAGGGGCAAGAGGGTAGGGATAGGGGAGAGGGCACAGTGCCAGGCTGGACGTGGCTGTGCTCCTCGGTCGGCCGTGTTGGCCGATCCCACGGCCGGCGCAGAGGAGACCGCACAAGGCAGCCGGCTGTGTCGGGACCCAGCCCGGAACCCATAACCCCTGGGAAGTTGTTCACCCCTGTGTGCTGTTAAGATCTGTAAGAAACCTAAGGCGAAAGCCCTTAACTTACCTCAGCTTCCGGAGTGAGTCGTCGGGAACTTCTCAACACTCATGCGTAAATTCGTGCATTTCAAGTTGTAAGTGTAATTTCACAAAGGACATGAAATAACGTGGTTAAATTAATAATACATGTTGATAAATATCCCCATTCGCCGATTTCTGCAAACCCTTTGTTGCAGAAACTTACCAGTGAGTAACCAACCATAAAAGCTGAAAAGACCATGTCAGTATGATCTCATGGCAAAGGTCGGAGTCCTAATCACCCATCATTCCTGAGCACTCGCCACAAAGCATTGCTAACCTTGTGACTTACCATGTCTCACCGCCGCATAACTGCACCATTACGGCCATCAACCTCGCATCTCATGCCCAAGCCATTCATCTCGATAACTACTCATCGCCACCAGCATTCACGGATGAACACTCACCATTACCGAGCACTATTGGAGCCCGAGGGTTTTGCCACAATTGAGATACTCATCAATTATCACACCATCAACAACTCAATACCACCACCCATCGCTATGCATGCACCACCACCAGCCAAACATTATCAACCAGCATTCAACCCCCACAACTCGTTACAATTCATCGGCGTCACCGCGACCGTTTACGACGACCCATCGAATGACCAGCACTCATCATCGGAACCACCAGTCCAATACCATCACTCGCTGACAGCATGTCTTTTACCACCAATCACCGTGACGTTATCACCATCACTCCCGCAGCACCCATCAAGGAGGTCAAAGTGCAGCGGCCACCACGGATGCGAAACCTCTGGGTTCACTGTACGCAGCCCTAAACGCGACAATGAGCACGTCTGGCAACCCACCACCGTTAAATAAAACAGCGACGCCGCCAAATAAGCGCTTCAACGGCAATTCACGTCTCGTGGCGAGGCCGTGACGAACCAGGGGGCCACGAGGAATCTTGACAGATTGCCGGCACGACCGAGACCCCGGGAGGAGAGAGCACGCGGTCCCAACGCTGGCACGTCATTCACAAACTCGGGAGAGCTCTGCGGCGAACCGCGGAGACGAGGGACACACGCACACCGCCTGGCCTCAAGCGGCTCCCGCAATGCGGACGTGCCGAGGCCTACTCGCCACGCTAGGCCACCCGCGACACCACGCGGCCCGGGAAGGGGGGGGGCTGTAGGGGCCCACGAGGTTACAACAACAAAAATAGCGCGTGTCGCAGAGAGCGACGCATTTATTGTGCCGCGTTAATGAATCTCACGTAATTACATACACGTGGGCCGCATGCGAGCCTGAAATGGAAGGTGCGAGATCGTGGCGCGAGCCGGCAAAACTATGGTCCTCATCATTGTCCTCCCCCCCCATCTATCCCTCTTGTCCCCCCCCAATCCCTCCCTCCCTCTTGTCCGTGCCCGGGGACGCGTGCCCAAGACGGAGAGCCACGGGCGGCTTCGTCAGTAAAGGAGAACGCGAAAGTAACAAACAACGGCCGCGACAGAAAACCAAGTCGAGCGCTGGGCCCGCGGGATCCGCACACGGCGCGAGCTCCGTGTGCATCACCACCACCACCAACTTTCACCCCACCCCACGTGTACCGCAGAGTATATCCCGGTACCTTGCGAGTGCCGTGTGCAGCGCGGCCCGTGCGCAGCGAGTGCCGTGTGCAGCCACAGCCTCCCTCCTCCTCCACCACCACCTCGCTCCCTTCCCATTTGGGCTCCCCCTCCCTGCTCCCCCTCCCTGCTCCCCCTCCCTACTCCCCCCCCTGCCACACCTCCTCCCGCCTCGTGACTCACCTCCCCCTCCCCGTCCCACAGGCTCGTCACCGACGGAAATAGCCGAGTGCCGGTGACTCGGCTCGTTCGGCTGTTTCCGGCGGTAGCGCATTAAAAAAACAACAACACCACAACGGACGAAGCGTTGGGGGGAGGGGGGGGGTGTTTTTTTTAGTGTTGAATGAAAAATAAATTAAACGACTTGTTTTTGGTTTGTAAAGTATGAGCTAAATTGTGCGACGATGTAAAAAATATAAACCGGTGTGGTCTGAGGTCGTTCGGATTTTCCCGTTGCTATTTCCGAGCGCGTGATGTCAACACGATGGCGCGCGCTTAGTGTCGACACTTTCGATTGGTCGTGACGGCGTCGAGCGTTTACAACGACGCGCGTGATTGGCTGAGAGGTCCACGTGGCCGGACAACGTTGTTGTGGGCGACTCGGCGGTGCTATTCCCTGGGCCCCGTAATTATCATGCCCACATTTGTAAAAACGACCCACTCATTTCGAATATACATAAATCATAACCCCCCCCCCCCCTTCAAAAGTTGTCAGGATCCCTCGTGAAACTCCATGCGTCTTCCATAAAATAGATTTTTGGGTTGGATCGCGTAAATATATAAATGTGTCGTTTAAACCCGCCGCCACCCGACACAGCCAACTAGTAAGGGTTGTCAAGTTAACAGAACGTGGCCAATTCGTCACTAGTACAGCAACACCGGTGTGTTGGAGAGCCAAGCCACAACATTTACAAACTTGAGTACGACGTTTCGCCAGTAATTACAACAAGCTTTATCAGGCGACAGCCATGCGTCTTTCCTGATCAAAGCGTGATAAATAATTACAGTCTGCACTGTTTCCAATTCGTGTCAGCTGAAATTGTTACTTCGTTTTGAAAACGTACATTTCAGTCCTCTTCTGAGGCGCAAATACGCAATCACTGACCCAAAGACACAATGACAAGCTGACAGCAACAAGCAGCAATGTTAAAAGTTGTAACAGATAAACAAGTTGATACGTTTCCGGAATTGAGCAAGGTTATGTTAAAAAAAAACACTGGTAAATGAGTAGAGAGCGAATTCCAAAGTCGAGTGGTGCGATAGAAAATGCAGAAAGAAAAGTGTTTTTATCCGCACTGTGGTTGGTAGTTGAACAAGAAGTATGGGATGAGACGGAACGGTCTGGTTTGATGGAGTTCTCAGCCACATTGGTGGATGAAACTTGAGTGAAGTTCATGGGAACGGTGACTTTTTTTGGTCATCGAAGAGTGAGGAGAATGACCACCAGTGATCCAGTGGAGTTGATCAACGGGTTCTGGGTCATCAGCCTGGCTGCTTCACTTTAAATAAGAATGTTTTACCCTTGGTGGCAATAAAACAGGTGTTTTGAGATTTCACTGTGTAACAAATTTTTTTGTTCCTTGGTAGTAAGTGTTATTTACTAATTGCTTATGCCTCAAAAGTACAGAAAATGGCTATTATTCCCCACAAACTCTGTTTTTGTGACCAGGACAGTGATATTTTGAAATTGACCGATTTTACACAACATGCCAGATAGATTCAGTGCTGAGTAAACTTGGAGTAACTTCTAGAACATTCTAGAACTTTCCAGTAATATAAATAGTATAAATACAGGGGTCGTAAGCCCACCAGTTCAGTTTAGTTCCAGCTACCTAAGTGGATACATATCTGCATTTTTCTGAGATGGCATCAAGAGGCTACAAGCATCCGGCAGACACATTTTGCTATGTCTGCGAACAATTTATCAAGACCAGAGCGAAAAAGTACTCTGTGGAAGCATCTGCTAAGATGTGTGAGGCCTACAAGGCATATGTCAGCATGCCTGTCGGGGATCAAGACAAACCCTGGGCACCTCATTTCACCTGCGAGCAATGCAAACAAAACTCTGGAAGGTAAGATGGACAATTGTTGCTCGGAATTTTATTTGATAAAAATTTGTAAAAAATTAAAAAATTGTAAAAGTTTTTAATTTGAAAATGTTTTACAATTTTCAATGTTATTGAAAAAATATATATATGAAATTTTTTTACGAGAATCTCTTACACATGAATCATGGGTGAAATTAATGTATTTTTATAGGATGGTACAGAGGGGAAAAGAGAGCCATGAAGTTAGCTATCCCAAGAATTTGGCAGGAACCCACTGACCACTCAAGCAACTGCTACTTCTGCATGGTGGACCCTTACAAACGTCGGACTGGCAACAATGCACCTGTTATCACGTATCCGGACCTTCTTTCATCCATCGCCTCAGTGCCCGTACCCACTCTTCCGGAGAGAGAGAGTAGCCGTCTTTAGAAGAGAGCAGCAAGTTAGAGAGCGAGGAAGACATAGATTCAGATGACAATTTCAAAGGTGGAGCTGAGGAGAGAAACCCATACTACCCCAACCAAAAAGACCTCAATGACTTTATCAGAGATCTTGGTCTCACCAATTCCAATGCTGAGCTTTTGATGTCTAGGCTCAAGCAGTGGAACTTGTTGGATGAAATTGTGCAAGTCGCAGTTCAGAGGAAGCGTGACCAACCTTTTTGCAGCTTCTTCACTCGTCAAGATGGGCTCTGCTTCTGCCACAATGTGACCAGTCTGTTCGAGGCAATCGCAATCGCCTGTAACCAGAATGAGTGGTGCCTCTTCATTGACAGGTCATCCAGGAGCCTCAAAGCTGTGCTCCTCCATAATGGTAACAAGTACCCGTCTCTTCCCCTGGCTCACTTGGTGCACCTCAAAGAGGATTCCAACATCATCAAGAACTTGCTGGATGCCTTGAAGTATGATGAGTACGGCTGGGAGGTCATCGGAGACTTCAAAATGGTGGCATTCCTGATGGGTCTCCAAGGCGGTTTTACCAAGTTTCCCTGCTATCTTTGCCTTTGGGAAAGCAGGGACACCAGGGCGCACTACCACAGGCGGGACTGGCCACAGCGGACCGAGTTCTCTGTGGGGAGGAACGTCAAGTGGGAGCCACTGGTGGACCCCTGGAAGGTGCTGATGCCACCACTGCAATCAAATTGGGCCTTATGAAACAGTTTGTCTGAGCTGTAGATAAGGGGTCGGCAGCCTTCAAGTACCTTCAAGACTTCTTCCCTAAGCTGTCTGAGGCAAACGTCAAAGCCGGTGTCTTCTTCGGACCACAGATAAAGAAGATCCTGGAGTGCAATGAATTCCCCAAGAAGCTCACTAGTAAGGAGAAAGGAGCTGGTTGAGACTCTGGTGTAGGATGTCCCTCAAAGTCCATATCCTTGATGCTCATCTTGATAAATTCTAGAACATGTGAGCGTACTCGGAGGAGCAAGGCGAGCGCTTCCACCAGGATATACTGGACTTTGAACGCAGCTACCAAGGACAGTATAACCAGAACATGATGGGAGACGACATTTGGGGGCTGATTTGTGAAAGTGATTTCCAGTATAATCGTAAATCTCGAAAAACTACTCACTTCTAAATCTTTTGTAGTCATTTTTTATTATTACTTTAGTATAAATACATGTTAATTTTGATTCACATGTTTTTTTCTGACTTTATGCGAATGAAAAAAACACATTCGCCCGTTTTCTCATTGAAAATAGGTACATTGCTAAATATCACTGTCCTGGTCACAAAAACAAAGTTTGTGGGGAAGAATAGCCATTTTCTATACTTTTTAGGCATAAGCAATTAATAAATAATTCTACCCAGGAACAAAAATTGTGTTACATAGTGTTTTCAAACACCAAATAGTTTACTTTTGCAAGGAATCAATTCTGCATTAATCACACGTACCAGTGAACATACAATGTACTTGTGAACATGCCAACAATGTTCACAAATACATGTGGTTAATGCAGAATTTATTCCTTGCGAAAGGACTATTTGGTGTTTGAACATCTTAACACCTGTTTTATTGCAACAAAGGATCAAACCAATTCTTGTTTCATATTCTTGGTTCTTTCGGTAAAGTCACGTAGAAGGGAAACAAAATAATAAAAATATTGTTTTATATTTGTATTTTTAATAATTATTTTATTGTTTCCCTTCTACGTGATTTTACCGAAAGAACCAAGAATATGAATCCCTGCAGTCACGAAAGCTTTAAATCAAAATTCAATTCTTGTTTTTCATTCTTTGATACTGCCAAAAAAAACGGTTCCATGATATGCTTGATGTTAAACTATATCAACTACAGCGATGTACAAACTGGGTGCCCTACCCAGATAGTAAACGACATTTTTATTTCAAAAGTGTGTTTATTATGTTATTATTGATTTGCTGAGTTGTAAAATAAATTGATATAAATGTTAATATACAATCTGAGAGCACTAACGGAATTGTATGTGGATGGCCAAGGCTTTTAAGGGCACGTGTTTGCCAAGTTGCATACATCAGGTAAGTATATAGCTTTGGAAATGCTACTCCATATAGATTTAAATTAATATATTTTGGTTTTGGGTAGCCTTCCATCATATCCCGAATTGCGGCTTTCGTCCGAATTGAGAGATCTTTCCGTATTCATAACGGTTACAAACCATTACATTACGTTATTTTGGACAGCAGACTTAATAATAATTGAAAAAGTAACGGCGTTACGTACAATGACTTTGCTTTAAAAAATAAATAAGAATAGGTTTTACCCTTTCTGGCAATTAAACAGGTGTTAAGATGTTCAAACACCAAATATAAACCTTTTGCAAGGGATCATATCTGCATTAACCACACGTACTTGTGGTGAACATGCAAACAAACATGATCTGATAATATATGCAAAGGCTTCTATTTGGTGTTTGAACATCTTAACACCTGTTTTATTGCCAGAAAGGGTAAAACCTATTCTTATTTTTTAATACTTTGATACTGGCAAAAAGATCCCATTTTGTAGCTGCTCACCCCGAGCTATAAATGCTCTGATAGTGGCATTGTCTTTGTGTACTGTTCGCCTTTTGGCGTTCTCTGGTCTGACACTGGTGAGACTAGGCCCTCAAGAAGCCTGTCTCTGGTGTAGACCAATCAGTTTCAAAGGCAATGCATATATTATCAGAGCATGTTTGTTTACATGTTCACCTGTTTTATTGCCAGAAAAGGGTAAAACCTATCATTTTTTAATACTGGCAAAAAGGTCCCATTTAATTACGTGGTTATGTGCAATTAAATTATTGTAACCAATACGAAGGAATGCAAATGTAAAAGTGTAAGAAATAAATCCAAGCGTGGAGAGATGCAGATATTTGAACAAATTAGGGAACATGGGTAGGTTAATGACAAACCGTGAAGAATTAGTCGGTTTGGGTAGAACAGTATCGCTCGATGCAACGATGACAGATGGTCAATAATCTCCACAATCGAGGTGGTTTGGTTAGATCAAGTAAATAGAAATGTGTTGTTAAACCCGTCACCACCCGACACAGTAAGGTTTGTCACGTAAACAGAAGATGCCAATTCATTACGAGTACAGCACACCGGTGTGTTGGAGAGTAAATCCACAACGTTTACAATTCGAATACGACGTTTCGCCAGTAATTACTACTAGCATCATCAGGAGACAGCCAGATTTGTGGAGAAATCCTGTGTGTCCATCAGGTGCGAAGGCCATATGATTTACAATGAATATTCATTACCAGCTGGGTTATTCATATGGTAATCAACAAACACAATAAGGAGTGGCGGCAGCCATGAACTTGGGGCATGTCTCATTGACAGGTAGCAGTGAGACAGACAACGAACGGTTTTGCCAATATTAGGACTCATCTGTACACTGGTTATAAATGTACAGAGTTACCAAAGGCTGCGTCTGGGAATCAGATGCGGTATGCAGTACCTACTTCTGTACTATGGGTGCCAAATTAGCTTGGGGCTAATGCCAACAATAAACTTAATCGGTAAATGACATAAAACATCCCATCATGAGTCTTAATGAGAACGAGATTTGTCTACAGTAGTCACTGTCTCATTTGTGCCCGTCAATCACATTTACTCAAATTTATGTGATGGTGACCTAAGACAAGACCACAGTGCAGTTCATGAACTAATGATGTTTTTTTTTGCATAACGCGCATCAACTTATTTACGCACAGATTAATTGTAAATCACAGGATGCAGAACACAAATCGTGGAAATAAAAGTGGACAATAGGCGTGCTAGTGCCACTGTCGCCCTCCAACAATAACGGAGGACAGAAGGAGCGACGCTCACAACAACGAGTGGAGGAGCGTCGGGCATCTAAAATGCAGCAAGTTGGCACAGTCGGGGGGGGTGGGGCACATCTGGTGCATCTTGCCAGTCTCTTTGAGTCGGTCAACCCGTGCCATCCGGGATCTGTCCCTTGACCTCCTGCCCCCAGCGAGCCTTCAGACACTTCACGTGGCCTCAAAGTGCACCTAGCCTGGCCCAGGCGCCGTGGTGACGTCACCGCCACTTAGCGGTATAAGTCACACGATGTGTGTCTTGGCCTCGTTATTCGCGGTCCGTCGCCGTGGTTACACAGTGATGGCGCGACTGTCGTTGGCATAGAAACCGTTCTGCGGAGTTCTCTTCGTTGCCACAAGGGGGCAGCAAATCACTACCCGAGTGGATGAGCGTTTTGATTTAATGCTTTCGTGACTGCAGGGATTCATATTCTTGGTTCTTTCGGTAAAGTGACGTAGAAGGGAAACACATTTTTTTAAATTTTCTTGTTGTGGTTTTCACACCTGATGATGATTGCTTGTTGTGCTGCAGTCGAAACGTCGTGAGAATTTTTATTGTTTTATATTTCTATTATGTTATTGTTTCCCTTCTACGTGACTTTACCGAAAGAACCAAGAATATGGATGAGCGTTGTCTGAGGCTTCTTGCACTTGACTCCTGCTTTTCAATTAATTGACACCAATAATTGGAACCATCTCTTTGAACGACTGTACAACACAAGCAGCATATCGTCAATGTATAACATATCGTTGCTATATACGACCTAATTCTTCAAATGTATTGTACACAATGTGTGTACTGTGCAGACCTTACTGTATGTAAGGTCCGAATCAACATATTTTCACTCGATGTTCACATGTGTTTCATATCTACATAAACTTTATACCCTTAAAGTATATGCACGTAGGACCATTAAAATGTGTTCCAGGTCTGGTTTTGGTTTTCTGTAACCTGCACCACGTTGCTTAATTCAATGCATCAACTATTCCGTTGTGCTAAAAAGAACTGTATTAAGTACACATTGGTAATGAGGCTTGTATAATTACAGGAGTAATTTCAGATTCTATTTTAATTCAGTGACCATTGCAACATCTCAAATATATTAATTATGATTTCGTATCCCACAGATACAACTGTGATATAACTGAATTTAATTTAACAATGCAACATACTGGGTTCGCCAAGATTATAAATATATAGCTTTTGGCATTAATTACCAACCTTCACAGGCCTTAGCATGTATTGAGATTAAACGGGCATTCTTCTTCAGAGAGAGCAATAAATCACATCAAGGAAACAGAGTCCTCCATCCCAACTGCATGGGGTATCATGGACCAACTTACAGCCCACAAATACAGATTAAAAAAAGCCTTTCAAGTCTCGTATTAATGTATTTTTTTCCATTACATTATTTCAGTTAATCAACAGAGGAAAATGGTTTCTCCTACGTACATGATAAATCCACGAATTTAACCACATCTGTCTGAGAAGAAAGGATGCTTTTCTAGAACAGCTGGTAGTCATTATTGGTTGCCACTTTTAATCTTTAAGCAGCATTTTTAAGTAAAAACTAAATTGAAGCCGCTGCATTGGATAATCTAAAGACGTTAAAAGGACACTCACACAAAGACGAATCAAGACTGTCACTTTAATGCAATGGAGCCAACCAATAATTTTAAATTAGCACAAGTTATAAATCCATAAACAGTGCTTATATATATAGTACTTCTGTATGTACAGTACTGCTGGCAAACAACATGTTCCTGTTACCTAATATGTAGTGATCACACTGCATTAAAACAGAGGACGAAGTTCAAAATGATATATAATTTAATTGGTCATGTTAAAACTCAAGATGCAAAAGTATGGATACTGTGTTTTGTAATTTTAAATATCTGTTTATTTTATCACTGACAGAGTGCATTATGGTGTTTAGGTTTAGATTTTTTGTTGTAATTATAACCAAGAAATGCAACCGTTGAAAAATAATTACGTAGGATTGTTCTAGTCCTCTGTTGGTCCCTCTAGAATGGTCGTAAAGGAAAATGGTGCAAATTTGTAGCCCGATCCTTGGTAGAACTTGTTCTGGAACTCAACCCTGTTGTGAACACACAAACCACGTAAAATTGCAGGCTTCATTATTTTTAAATCGCATTTCGTCTAAACTATGAGAATCTTGGTTGGTATGCCATTATTGTTTACTTACTAATGTCAGATGAGGGTGATATTGTGGGATATTAAAATTATTTAATTCAGTAACAGTGCAGGAACCTTAATATAGCATTCCTCATGAATAGCACTGAGAAGTTTTTGCAAATTGATATAAATAATAAAAAAATAAATCTAGTGTAAACTATATAAAACTACAATACAGATGAGATGACATTGTGAAGATAGATCTAATAATTATTGAAGGATTTTGGTATTTGAAATAGAAGCAACTGCAAACTGTTGAAAATAGCATGAGCTGAATTTGATGTTTAGAATGACAGTATTTCACAGAGGGGCAGGATGACTTTGGTGACAGCTATATATTTAAAAAATGACACCATTATGCTGACTTGTATGTATGTGTGTGATCAGTTGCAGACATTGTAGCATACCAGTGCAGACGAAGTGCATGCAAGAAGGCAGAGAGACCCTCCATTACGAGCAGGATGGCGACTGTGAGCACAGCGAAGGCTGCGAAGATGAGGAATATCCCCACGCAGCCTTTAAAGCTGTTTTTGTGCAGCCCAATGTGCAACACCATGTGCCAGAGAACTTCTGAAAGCTCTATACACGAGCACATACACCCACGCACACGTACAAAATAAAAACTGATGTGAAATGTTCCTTAGCAAATCCTCCTTTATAGTTTACATAGCCTAGGACATTTGTTACGTTTTACTAAAACAAGGCCCTTACCTCATGTTTGTGTCAAGAGTTAAAATGATTTGTCATAGAGGTTTATTTCTATTTTAACATTGTAGTTTTCTAACACACAATGCATCACAAAGTAATTCACAGTGCTGTGTGTACCATGTTGTGCTTTAGATTAAGGTGCAGCTCTGCAATTTCTTGCTCACATCACTGCTTTGGGAAGGGCCTCTACAAGACGGGAGCCCTAAAATACCCTCTCCAGATACGGTTTTATTTGCCCTACATTACAATACAGCATTTATCAATATAATACAATTACATATGGAGATGTACTAAAGGCATATCCACAACCTGCATGTGCCAGGCTGAGGGCCCAGAGACGCAAGTAGGAAGCTGTGTTGGAGATGCAGCCCAGGCAGTACTCGATGGTGTGGATAGCTTGGTGCACAAACTCATCAGCAAAGTTGAACTCCTGGTACAAGACAGGAATGATCATGAGGTTTATTTTTCCTGGATTTTCATAATTGTACTATAAAAACTGTTTTAATTGGACGAAGACATCTTAAAAGCAACGCAGGACCCTCTTGTAAAAGGGGGTTTTACAACTCTGTGAGTCTTCCTGTATAAATAAGTATATTTTTTTCTGAGTATATTAATGACAGAGAACAAAATGAAAAGTATTTGAAATGGCCTGCAAACGTAAACTGTGCCATGTGGTCATACTTCACCTCATCATGGCCATGCCCATGGCCATGCCCATGCCCATGGCCCCCATCTCTTTCATGCTCCCCGTTCTCTCCGTCGTCATGTTCTGTGTCCTTTGTGGGGAGCATTTGCACCTCCACTTCATCTCCATTTGCCACAGTCCTGTATGAAACATCCCTTACCTGGGCAGCACATACACACATTGTTGTCCATTGCAAGTTGCTGCATGCGTTAAATACATTGTTGTTTCATAACAGCATGTTCACGCAAGTCTGCGAGCACGTAACTGCACATGTGGGTATGAGTATCAGCAAGGGTGTACACATATTGGCAAATCGTGTGTATCTGCACACATACTTGCACGTATATTGGTACGCTGGGCGAACACGGCACAATTTTCCTTGATAAGCCAAAAAAACAATCCCCGTTCAAAAAGATTCTTTCAATGTTATTTTTATATCAAAGCTTTTTGGAAAACTTGCCTAAAGGGAATCCCTTAGATTTTACCACAGTGTTATGGTTGTTTTCTGTATAAACAAGGATGACAAAATGTCCTTTTAAGATATTCGGTCGGGGTCCAACAGGAAGACAGACTCACGTTACGATTTGACTTGCGATGCTTGGCTCTCAACACAAAGGGCTTGATAAGGAGCATCCAGGGCACGGTTATCACAGCCAAAACCACGAGGAAAGTCTGAACTTCTTGCTGCAAAAGACAAAAACACGTGTGGAGGTAATTTAAACTCTATAAAGCTTGAATTTTACACAAGGGTGTCTGTACAACCCTTGTATGTTTTTATATTTATATATTATTTTGGCCTGTGTAATAAGGGAATTAAATAATACATTGTGTACTTTCCTCTAGATCTACCATGACCTTATCCTAATGTGTGGAAGATGGTTGATAGAAATGCAAGTCACATCGGGTTGGCCACATGTCCACACCTGGCTGTTGTAGAGAAATGGGGGCGAATCCTCCCCGTAGCTGAAGAGGAACATGTTGATAAAGTGGATGAGGATGCTTGGTGCTGCCTGCGAGTTGGCTGCACCAAACACGCACCACTTGTACACGATCATGATCAATAGGTAGCCAAAGAGTGCCAGCATGAAGATCATTTCTGGGATGAATTGCAGTACAACGTTCTCTGGCTGATGGAAGAACCTGTGCATGCCACAACCAGTTAAAAACATCGGTGATTCTCACAAAGTGTGCACAGTTTTAAGTGAAATATTTCCCAAATAAAAATTCACTTTGGATGTTGTCTGAGTAAAAAAGTTAAAACACTTTTGCTCAATTATAAGATTTGAAAATATTCAATACATGAGAGTGTGACTGAAAAGCAATATGCAATGATGTTGCAATCATCAGTGCGTGTAACCCTTTGAAAGCCCTGGTAAGCTGCGTGTTTTAGAATTCCACATAGAAAGTATGAAAAATTCATTCCATATTACGTCAACAGACCTCGTCAAAACTGGAGCTCATACCTCTCCCGAGAATGCATTAGACACTGATAAAATCACGTCTTTACCTCCAGCCACTTATAGTATTGTGATAGGGTATTATGTCTAAAAATGATATGCCTGCAAATTATACAAATCCTATGAATATTAAATAAAACCTATAGGATATTCCCAATATAACACATAGGCTTTTGCGACCAAAAAAACATCAGGATATTACTAGTGTGCCCCCTCCATAAGTACTTTGGTTTAAAATAGTTTCAACTGACATTAAGCAAGCCACTTCTTTAAGTGAGATGCAAGAGTTATATTAGCATGACGCAATTATGCAGGAAAGTGGGAACCTCACGTATGGTTGAAAAGCCCCAGTACCACTCCAAACGTCATCTGGATAATACCCAGGATGACGGACATCTTCATCTTGTACGAGTTTAAAAAAGTCAGCTTGTTCACAGCCACATTCCATATCTGTAGAAATTAGAACCTCAAATGTTGTCACCGCAAACCCACACAGGAAGGGGGTAGGAGGAGCGTTAATGCAACCTGCTTATTATGTGGCATCAAAGGGGGCTAGAGGTGTGGAGAAGCACCATATCTTGTGGATCAACTACCATAAGTGTGAAATTCCTCAATGCATCCTCAATGCAGGTGAGGTGCATATGAATGTGATGGAAATCCATTAGTGCACAGATATATTTATGGATTTCATGGGCCAAGTATAGTGTTGGAAATAATGAAATATGCTCAGCAAACGAACACGGTTTTCCACATTGCAGTTTAAATCTTGTCGTGTCCTTGCAGTGTGCCAATTACTGTTCAGGTAATCGCCTTATGCTCTTAAAAAATATTTTAATGTAAGGTATACCGCTGAATGTGCAAAACTTCTGTTGGATTTGGGTGCAAACCATAACAATCAGAGCACTCTTTCTGAACATTCCAGAATAATAATGTAGACGAATAAATACATAACTAAAACAAAAAAAACACTTAAATAATTCGTAAAAATGCATGTACTTTGGTCAAAATTACTTTAGCTTGATATTTATATAAAATCATGTGTCATCGACTCATTAATGGTGATGAGAGGAAAGCAGATATGCAGAGCGTTTAAGTATAAGACGCAGTGATGTATGAGTACATGTTTGTTTCTTGAACTCAGTCTTGGGCATGTGCAATCAGCTGAAGAGTAGATTGTGAGCTGTTCATGTAAAACAGTAGTGTGGAGCTGGGCATAGCATGAGGTGAGTATGTGTTGTCGTTGAGACTCACGGGGTCAAGGCCAAAGGGATACGGCTGGCCAGAATAAACTCCAGGGATAGCAGGATCCAGCTGAAGCACGCTCGAATGGTGTATAGTATGATTTCTGTCAGGGACAAAGCACAGATCAATAGGGCAACGTGCACTTCGACACTTGTAGCAATGACATATGTACATATATGGCATGTACTAATAACATGTCTATAATTTCAAATATACCACCCTTAAAAAAACATTAAAACCCTTTCAAATAAAGTGCACAACCTCACATTCTGGCTTTAGTATTCTGCCAATATCAAACGCAGTAAAATAGCACATACATTACTCTGTCAAGTAAGATTGCTTTAAGTTATTCTGAAAAAATACCGTTGGCTAGACATTCTATTTAACGTGTCAAAACTTGGAATATGGATAATGACATTTGATGACTACGATGTTGATCGTTAAATTCTCCGTAAAACATGCATGGCTGACATAGTGTTAGGACTCACCCCCATGGTCCTGTGGGATGGAACATGGCATTAACACTCCAGCTGGAGCCGAATATGTCGAAGGCCTTGGAGAAGCAGTCATTGTAGATGAGGCCGGTGTACATGGAGAAGGCTCCCATCAGCAGGATGATGTAGCGGCCACCGAAAAATGTATTCCAGATCTGAATGTCACGCATGACATGGCAATAAGATAAAGGTGAACAGTGTGACAGGGCACTGTCATTAACCAAAAGCAGTAGTAGCTCTTGGCAGGATGTGGTTACATGTTTTAAAGGTGTGTTCGCTCAATTTAGCTTTCTGCTGAAAATAACAGTTTCGTAAGGCATCCTGAGGTCCAGCTGCTCAAATGCTGTATATGAAGATCACCTCATTGTCTGACTTGGTCTCAGTGAGGCTCTTCTCGTAGATCACCATGAATAACGCTGCTAGGAACATGATCAACCCATGGCCGAAATCCCCGAACATCACAGCGAACAGGAAGGGGAAGGTGATGATAGTGTAGGGAGCTGTTGGGAAACACAATAAGTATTGGCTTGTAAAATTAAACAAACACGAACAGCCTATAAGATGAGCCATACCAATACAGACACAATTCACAGTAGCAACAAAGCAATTACTTTACAATAAAGTAAAATTGCATTTTTAAAACAATATATAGAAATAGCTCAAATCATGTTTTGCTTTTTGCAGAAATATAAACCAGTTAAAATAAAAAAATGTTTTTAATGCTTGTTTTGCATTGACACTGAACGGGGCGTACCAGGGTTGATCTCGAGGTATTTGCTCACGCCATACGCATCCACGATGTTCTGAAAGCCTGAAGTGAACTTGTTGGTGCGATTGAAGGTGGGTGGAAGCTGATTGGTGGTCATGCGGTTGAGTATGGGGGGCATCACGGCCCCGCTCTTCTCCTGCAGTAGGGGGCACGAATTAGAGACAGTGTGTTAGGGATGGGGAAAACAACAACATCGGCAACATCGATATTTTTCCTTGGATAATATTATAAATAATGTTTTTTTCAATCTTTTGGAAAGGAGACTTAAGATTGCAGCTGAGTGTTGATTCATCAATAACAGCCTTCTCTGCCCTTGTTATTATCAGATTTTCTTTCTACTTTATGAATAGTTCTTCATTATTTTCTTCGATAAACATTACTTTTGAATATGTACGTTGCTCTTTCCTGTAATACTGCTCATGGAAAAAAAGTATAGAATATCGAAAAAAACTGCGATGATCTTGTTCTGAACTTTTAGTATACGTAAATGTTTTTCACGAACAAAATCGAGTGTTAAAAATATCGGCGTTTTTTCTTTCAACGTCCCATCCTTAATGAGCATGCAGTGCACCCTCGCATCATCACCGAGAGACTACTCTGAATGAGGGAAGCCCTCACTCAGGTGGAGCAACCTGAAACAAGTAATGTCCTGGAGCTCAGCAGGGGGCTCACTTGAGCTGAGCAAAATGTGTCAGGCCGAAGGTTACAATAGCTCTCTTGGCAAAACGTACTAAATAATACATATTTTACGAATAGAACGTTAAGGCGTGTGCGATACCTTTTTAATAATTTAAATACACATAAATAAATGGGTACATGACTTAACATTAATCTTCCTGCAGTGGCTACCAGCTAAGTAACATGACATATTCGACGAACGAAACCCAAAGCACTTCCATACTTACATATTACGAATTCTCTGTGTGTCATCCACTGTTTTATTTATTCAAACATTAACCAACTTGTCTTCTGTCATTGTGTCATGTCCCCGCATTATTTGTGCTTTCCGGTGTTCGGTATGTAGACTTTTCAAACCACCTGTATATTTAGAAGCATATTTCATTTAATGTACATTTTCTATCCATGCAGTACTCACCGTGCCAGAAACGAGGGCGGCCTGGATGGTCTGGAGGTCCAAGACAGGACACCAAATTTCAGCAATGTGACACTTCTGAGTGACATCAATGTTGCACATGTTGAGTGTGTGGTAGATAGCCTTCATCTTCTGTACTTTGGTTCTCCACTCATAGAGAGTCTCAGCAGCTGAGGCCAAGGCTTGCTGCCTGTGCATCTCCGTCTGGCCCAGCACCTACCCCACATGAGACACGCACCACAGTTAAGGCACCAGTGTGGATTTCTAATGCCATCACTGTGTCAGGATTGACCAAGGACGAGGTGAGACAAGCTGTGAAGACTGTCTGCTCAGCATGGTGGGACACTGGATGTGTGCCGTATGTCAGTTGCCATGAAAAGTGGTGCAAGGTGCGGTGTGTGCACTACAAGTCAAATTGTGCATGGTATACACGTGGTGCCTGGGCGAAATAAGAGGCATGGGTATTCAAATATGAATGTGGATTGGAGTCCTCACCGACTTTAGGTCCTCAATGCGTGTGTTGACATTCGCCCTCATGTCCGTGCGCTCCTGAATTGAATCTGGGCACGGATAGATGGTGGCTCGGAATCTAGAGACACATTACACAGCACAATCATAAGCAGAGCTCGGAATAACAGTGAAGCGGATCAGAATCACATTTTCGCATTTTTGCGAACAGTATAGAAGTACAATAAACTGCAATTGACTCACCCATCACAAATTTTGTTTACTTTGCTCTTCAGCTGGTCTCCTTGGAAAAACACAATGAACATGTTCTTGTATATTTGCTCTCCCTGGAAAGAAAAGAATGGAGAGTGAGTTAAGAGCAAACTTCAACACAATATGCTTCCATATTTCAAATCTGCCGCTTCCAAATCCAGACAATGTTGAGCAATTTACTGTTGATATGTAAACTCCTCTCCCCACTCTTCCGTTCCGAACATAGATGGACTCGTCTGTCTGAACAAAGCTCGTCGCTCTCCGTGGTGCTAATCCCTCACACCAACATCACGCTAATCCCCCAGTTACATGCTAATTTATATGTAAACTCCTCTCCCCCCTCCTCCGTTCCGAACATAGATGGACTCGTCAATCTGAACAAAGCTCGTCGCTCTCCATGGTGCTAATCCCTCACACCAACATCACGCTAATCCCCCAGTTACATGCTAATTTATATGTAAACTCCTTTGTCAAGGCGCTCTGTTCCTCCCACACAGTTTAAAAGACGCTGCCAAGCTTGGCAGGGTTCACTCAAGTGCTGTCTGCCGGACAGTCCTGTTTCTTCACCTGAGGAAGGCTACTTGTGTTGTGGCCGAAACGTCGTGAGAATTTTATTCTGTTATTATTATTATTTTTATTATTTTATTTCCATTCTACGTGACTTTACCGAAAGAACCCAGAAGATGAATCCCTGCAGTCACGAAAGCTTTAAATCGAAATGTTGAGCAATATAAATATTTCACAAACATTCACTGTATAAACTAACAATTTATTGATCATTTCTTTAAAAAAAAATTACCCTATATTTAATACAGTAAAAAGACAACATCTGCAACATTCTACGAATAACAAAAGCAAAATTGTAATGGTTTCCATATTATGGCATAATATAAATTGTTATTACAGTGTTACTAATACTTGGATGGAAGTCTGCCTGAGAAATCTGGGTGTTGTAATGCTTGGGATGCGAGGTACCTAGACTATGGCAGTAGAGCAATATATTCTTGAATTAATCTATGCAGAGCTTTGATAATTATTGTCCCCCCGTAAGCAAGAGCTTGTTTCTAGGTAATTCAGTTTCGTCTTACACACGAAATTTCATGAACAGACGTGTAACAACAATCCAATGCCGGGCCCTCCTGAAAATGAGTCCTCAGACTAAGTGAAGTTTTGCTGGGCGTTAAAGGGCCTTCATATTACATAGGGCATGGGTTCTGTTGGGAAAAGTGGGCGTCGGTAGACACGTCGCTAGAAGGGATGATGGCCGATGGTCAAAACTAGCGTCAGAGTGGCAGCCAAAAGATGGAACGCGCCAGATAAAATCATCTGGTGTGTATGTACATGATGGGACACTGCATCGCAGCACCGTGAGCGACCGTGGCGACATAGGGATGCCTGTATCCAGCAGTGGATTAGTCATGTCTGATGATGACGCTGGTGATGGAGAGGGATATGGCAGTGGTGTGCGTGATGACAGGGAGGAGGCCGCACCGTGACGGGATCCTCGAGCGGCGTCTCGATCTCAGAGTGCCGGAACAACACATTCCCGTGGCAGAAGCGCCACAGCAGCCGCTCGAAGGCCGACACTCGATCACGCATGACCACACCCGTGAGGAAGCTGCACAGCAGCATCCGCAGAAGAAGAAAAAATCGTCATTGAGTGACGAATGTAAGGTCTATCTTTTTTTTTTTTTTTACAAATTCTCTAATACGTTCGACAAATCACTGTTTCTGCCTCGCCATTGGTGGGTGCGGTGGTGCAATGGTGTGAACATTGCTCTACGAACGCAGCGACCTGAGTTCAATTCCTGGCCAATCCCAACATCGTGTTGAGTAATATCTGAACCAGCCCTGGGCTTCTTCCCTTCATCGACCTGTACTGACCAGTGTCGTCAAGTATGGCCAAATAACACCTACAACTGACACAGCATGGGTAGGCCTTCATCCCGCAAAGGACCGATAATGAGCTGTAAATTAAATATTTTACATTTGTTTATCCTCCACCATAAAAGTTTATATGTTGCGGGATTTAAGGTACTGAGATGGAGAAAGGACAGTGAGTTGTGTTATTCACCCAAGCTTGAGAATGTTGCCCAGTTGTCCTGCGGCCGATGGCACATCCATCAGCCTCTGCATCTCGTCTGTCACTCCGGTCTCAAACATGCTGAAATCAGCCTGAAAAGCATAACATTATCATTACACTCCTGAATAATAATATATTTTATTATAATATATTTTATTATTCACAATTACTGTTACAGTCATGCAGATTTAGAATCTTTATTAATCCTGGAAAAATCCGATGAGCCATGAAGCACTTTGTCACAGATGTCCAGTAGGAGCGAGTCATAAAGTTACAAGAACAAAATGCAATCAATGTTAAATAATGTAGAACATAATTTGTAGTCGATATAAATGCAGTACCATAGTGTGAAATTAAATATATGCGTATCATACCAGGAAAAATATTAACATTTTTTAAATATAATTCACAAGTTTGTAACTGTGTCATTTAATCTGACTAGGCATGTGGTGGCCTATATTAATAGCCCATTTTGTGAACTATCATTTAAAACCTTTATTGTTTTACAGTTCAAAACTGCAAAAAAAGATTACAATTATATTTTGATCAGCTTTACATTGTAAGAATCCATATGCCAATAAGCCCTATATATAGGTAACTGGAGAGTGTCTGCATATTATACAATTCAAAAGCCCCTTGTATTGTAGGGATGTAATATGAATTATGTACAACACTTGGTCATATGACATCACGAAGGAGCCAAATGCTGCTTATGAAACTTGATTCAGTTGTAGATTTTGGACAATATGTGCTCACAGAAAAAAAGAGTAAAAAAAAGACTGAACAACACATGCACAGTGTAATCTGTAGGGTATGTACAGCCTGGAAGAAGTCGTTTATCTTGTCCAGAAGTTGTTGTAGCTCTGTGAGTTCCAGGAAGTTCAATTTCAGCATCTCCTGGTTTGAGTTGACCTCCTTTAGCTCCATCTCCAGCCTCTCGAGAAGGGACTGTCAGCGCACATGTCACATGAACATGTGCAAACAATGACACGTAAAGGCCTTCATTAATAACCATTTTTATTCCACTCTCATTTGTGTGCAAGGTAAGATGGAAATATTCTACATAAACCAAACAAGCGACTCGTAATGGCTGAGAATCTATTACTACCACTGTAATAGCTTATTTATTGGAAAATATAAATGACGCTATATTCTTGGTTCTTTCGGTAAAGTCACGTGGAAGGGAAACAATAAAATAATAAAAATATAAAACAATAAAATTATCACATGTTATTTTATTATTTTATTGTTTCCCTTCTACGTTACTTTACCGAAAGAACCAAGAATATGAATCCCTGCAGTCACGAAAGCTTTAAATCAAAATAAATGACGCTATTATTTATATTAATGCCTCTCTCTGAGCATGGACAGACAGCGGGAAAGCATTAAATTGTGACGTGTAATTCAAGAAAACATTTTACAATCATGCATTAAAATGTTTTTATAATGATGCACATGCTCTGTGCATTCAATAGTTATTTTGCATACATGCATTGGCTCTGAAAATGCATTTTCGGTGGTAAACGTGTGTGGAATCTAGAAAACCCAAATGGAATTCCGTGTGGCATTATTGTATGTAATAACGTGCTGGGCTTGCTGGTTTAGTAACTTTGTAATATATTGGGCTGTAGTAAAAACTGCCATGCCAAATGTCCCTTGGATCTCTTTTAGGGATGACAGGAGTGCTTATGCAAATGAGTCGGTCTCATAGTCTCAGCACACACAGTGTGAGTCGGCAATCAGCCTGCATATTACAGCTTGTCGCCACACAACAAATTATCTTGGGTTTTTTTATGGAGCAAAATAGAATCACCTCCTCACCTCCAGATCTATCATTTCCCGTGGCAGTGGGGCCTCCTGCTTGCTGTGTTGTATCTTCACGGTCATGTTAGACTTGGCAATTTCCTTCTCCAAGAACCCTGAAAGTACACACACGTTTACAAAACACATCAGGGACAATCTGGGCCTCGACAGAGCCAGAATCTTAGACAAATAAACATTGGCCCCGATCCAGAGTTTCCATTATCATTAAAGTTTGTAGCGCAAGTTGACATGTCTCAGGACTTAGCGTGCATTAGGTGTATTATTGAACACAAGGAAATGTAGTCCCGTTTTCCTGTCTCTCTTGAGGATATGAGCTATGCAAGATGAGTCTGATCTTATTGTATTTCCTAAACTATTAGATTGCCCCCTCCAAACAAAACAGGTCAATAGCTGACAAGATGATCCCTTACAGCGACGTATATAGAAGACAAAGACAGAGATCCCCCGCATATGTACAAACACGTGGATTTTTCTGTTGCGTGTAGTCACTTTAAGATGTTTCTTGTTCATGTTTTTGTTTGTTGCGGTCGCAGCCGAGTCAAGAGCCGCATGGCTCACAGGGTTATACCTAATAAATGAAACTGAAATGAAACTGAAACACGTGTGCATATATATGCATCCAAATATATATCGGCAAATGCGGTTTTCATATTCTTTGGGTCTTTCGGTAAAGTCACGTAGATAGGTTCAAAAAAAAAATAATAAAGAGAAAATTACAAAAAATATTTTATTTGAACCTATCTACGTGAATTTACCGAAAGACCCAAAGAATATGAATTCATACAGTCACGAAAGCTTTAAGTCAATATTTAAATGCGGTTGTATTCATTTATTTTAACTAGTACAGGCAAAACAACCTACAATTATTCATGGTGCTGAGCGGGTAATCAAAATCGTGTAAATTTGTACTGTCCAATAATATGTTATAAAAATGTGGACTCGTGTTATGTTGTTCATCAACTGATTCTGTATTGAGCAGAAATTACGCCATTGCAATCACTCTTATTTATCTCTGTACAACACTTTATGGAAAACGCTTGAAATTTGTATTTATTCATTATTATTATTATTAAACAAGAGCCGACTAGAAAGCATGAGCGATGGGGATACGGGGGGTGGGTGGGTACAGGTATTATGTGGATGGCAAGCCCGAGGCCAGTGGAAAGGTTAAGGTGGCTTGGAGCTCATAATAGTAAACTCTTACGCAGGATCCTCTCCATCTCCTCGCATCGCCGTACGTCGTTCACGTACTTCCTCTGGAAGAGATTGACGCCAGCATTCAGCTGCAAGAGAGAACACTGCAAGTCACTGGAGTTCGGAGCCAATTCAAGATGAACAAAAAGACATCGACGTGGAGGGATCGTTAACCTAAGTTTAACTATTTTTTTTATTTCATCGGCAGAATACTAATGGGAACGTATAAGTATGCGTTTGCGCATTGAAGACGCAATGAGATGTGGAATTTCAAGTAAAATGTGCGTCATCATGCGTCGTCGCTAAAACTCAAACATATTGGTTAACGGTGACATCGGCATTTTCAACAGTATCGAGGTGACTGGCCGAGCCGGGTGGAGAATATGCTCTCCGACTGCTGCTGGTGCCTCCCCAAGTCTTTCCTGTTGTTTGGGTTCGTAACACGGAGGGGCGGGGGTCCACTCTATACCGGGGGCGGGGGGGGGCACTCTATACCAGGACTGTGTAACGGTGTCAACGGTGTGAGAGAGAAAAAAAACCCAAAATGTCATTTGTTGAGGACAAGGAACATTACAACTGGATTATTTTCTCTATTTGGTTATTTTCACGAGTAAACCCATATGGCTTTAAAGGTTATGGAAATATTCCCAATGCAGGACTGGTGTAAATTCCACAGTGAGCTCATTTTCTTTCCATAGCTCAAGTCTCCCTCTCTGCATCCCTGAATGCGCCTCATTACTCGCGCATTCTACATTGTACAAATGTGTCAAGACATCAATCCGTTGCTTAGTCTGCCAGGTTGCAGTGAAGCACGGGAAAGAAAAAAAAACACGAGGAAATTAATTAACATCCAGAACGCGGGGCTGCAACACTCACGTCTCGGAACTGCACGAGGCCAAGCTCGCCCAGCTCGCTCACGCAGCTGTAGGCAGCCTCGCTCTGCAGGAACAGCTGCGCCAGGCACATCGCCTCGCTCCGGAACAGGGAACCCATTGCCAGAGCGAGATGCACTGCACAGAGACACCGGCAAAAGGCACGCACCGGCAGAGTGAGCGGACGGACAACACGCACACTCTGCACACGTCATTTGGGTACCCACTCTGTTGGATGGTTTATGTCCTGGATTACCGGTAAAGCATGAGCCACTCACATGACATTCATAAAACCCACAAATTGTACATCTATTACAGTATTCATTGGATTCCTAGTCGTTTGTAACGTAGCTGCCAATTACATCTTTTCAGGCTGCTGTGCTTGCTATACGGCATAGTCACAGCCTACCAAAGATATTGTTCTGCTCTAAATTTATGAGCATGATCTGAACTCCAGAATTCACGAAGGATAGGCTGTCAAACTCTGTACATTGTTAATAATAAATATATGCCGTTAATTACTGACAACTATGATTTTAAAAAAAGATAGAAAGGCTCCACACTAGTAGCTATTTAGCCGAATGAATATCTGTGAGAGGAAAAAAACATGTGGGTGTAGGAAAACATGCAATAAAATACGAACATAAAAATAACTTTCATACATGAATATAAACAATGCGGTGCATAATAGCCTAGGCAATACACACACACACTTTGATGAGCTTGATATGAACGTGTGCTCACACACCTGCCTCCAGTTGTTGATACAATGACACAATGAACCATCTGGGCCTTACTATGAAGACCACACTGTTCAATACGAAAAAGCTCAAAAAGCAAAATTAAAGACCTTCGAGCATTAAAAAAAAGACACGAACACTATTAGCAATCACTACACCGCCGCTGGTTCGCTGCGTCTGCGAAGCCACGCGTGCACTTCAATCTGATGGCTTCCAGCTCCCAGATAAAGACATGAACATTATAAGCAACCACTACACCGCCGCGGTTCGCTGTGCCTGCGAAGCCACGCATGCACTTCAATCTGATGGCTTCCAGATCCCAGAATTAAAGAGTGCAAGCCCTCGGGCCAAATCCTGCCTTTCCAATGAACTACTCTGCTGTTGATTGAGGCGGGAAGGTAACCTTGTGGTGTGGAAACATCAATGGATGTTTTTTATCTGATTCTCAAAAGCAAGTGTTGTGGCCATCACACAATGTCAATATAACGAGCTCTGCAACAGACACAGTGTTCTGTGGTCTGAAAGTGAACAACATGTGGCCGGTTACTTGGGGATCAAAACACACACACACACAAACTCTTGATTTGCAAATTAAAATGAATGTAATTGCTAAGATTAAAGTAATGGACTAAACAAGCCGTTATCATGAGAATTAGGTTTCCCCTTTTTTCTGGCAACAAAACAGGTGTTAGACCCGAGGACGCCACAAGGCATCCTCTGGTCTAACACCGTTTTGAGACGAGGCTCAAAGAAAGCTGTCTCTGGTGTGGACCAATTAGTTTCAAAGACAATGCATATACTATCAGAGTATGTTTTTTGTTTGCATTCTGACCACAAGTATTGTGGTTAATGCAGACACGATTCCTTGTAAAAGGTTTCAGTTTGGTGTTTTAACATCTCAACACCTGTTTTGTTGCCAGAAAAAAGGGGAAAACCGATTTTCATATTTTGGTACTGGCAAAGGAGGTCCCATGATGAAGCCGTTATCATTTTTTAGGTCATTAAGTTGATCACCCATTACTATTGTTGTAATAAATGTATAATTGTAATAATAATTTAGATTTGTAATGCGCCACACAGCATTCACTTACTCTGGTAGCAAAAGAGCACGACTCAGAGGCGCGAGGAATCACAAACAAGTGGGAACGCTGCCATACAATGAACCGGCGCCAACAATCGCCCAAACTCTGCAGAGTATATGACACCTTGATGCCCATGAGCAAGGAGTATCCACATCATTTGTGTGATCCACCAACCCCCCCCCCCCCGCTTCCACAGGGCTGGATAACAGGCATGCACCACGCCTGCCTAAGCTTAAAACTGAGTTAAGTAGATCCTGTTGCTTTTGTGATATAGCAATCCATTACAAGTCAGTCTCATTTAATGCTCTTGGATTAACCAAGTGATAGATAACCCACTTTTTATACATTGAACTTAAAATATTGTGGAGCCAAAAGATTCCTGGCCATTTTATCGAAGCAAACTACTCTGGACTATTTATATTTTACATTCAGACTACAACATTTATTTTAAATGTTTTTGACCATCTGTCAAATTGGTGTAAAGTAAATGTTATATCCAGAACTGCAGGAAAATATACTGTTCATGGTTTCAACTTCTTTATATTTACATGAACAACCACACTGATTGCTTGGAAACAAGTCAACTGTGATCTTGGACGCAAAACAGTAAGTCCTCTAGAAAACAATCCTGAGTTCATTCCATAGGTCCATCATTTCTTGTACATTCTCTCAGCGTTAAACCACTGGAGCGGTTTGTATACATTGCGATTGCAATGTTTCAACATGTGAATTTTGTGTTGATGTTTCTTTGGCATTATTTTAATGGCAAAACTGTTCATTTGGTTGTGTGTGCAGTATACGTTGAGCAACCAAGTATTATGTACTCACGTGGTGTGTACTCACGGGTATCGTTCTTACGTGCTGGACGATCTGCGGCGTCACTGTGCAGTGATTTTCTCTTGTGGACTTCAGAAGCAGATAGGGATTTACAAAACTAACTTTTTCAGGTAGCTCCTGCTGCATGCTGTGCACTGACTGGACGGTTTAAATAGTGTGGAAACCGGTTTTTAGGTCACGGGGGTTGCTGTAGCACGTCCATGCAGGTGTGTGCAGGTTTTGTCCGTGTCACATGGTGCTTTTAGGTATGTCTGAACCTCCCCGACTACCTGCGTTCAATAAGAGGACCACGCACAGGCAAGAGGGCATGCCTTCTCCTCTTGACTGACACATCTCTTGCCAATAACTATACAGTACTCGTGGCTAAATACTGCTGGTACAAACGCTATCTCGGTGTTCGTATCATAGACCTGGTTGCATTCTTTGAATATTATTCATATAACATTGGGATAACGTCCGTGAATATATCTCTAATAAAATTTGGGTGTGATTGAAAGTATATGTGTGTGGCCTAACTTTGGAATGTTGCTGTTAGTTTTTAAACATTGCTGTGAACGGACATAAGTAGGGTTGATGACTGATTTTACTTGTATTAGGAAGTGTATAATTCATAAAAAAAAATGTTTATCTATGTCGAGGGTTGAAGTTATATTAGTGCAGTGGGTATAAACACGTGATATGATAAGAGCAGTGGGTGATGAGTGGCATTATTTCATGTTCCTGATTTGGGAGACTTACATTTCTAGTTTCCCAGACTAAGGGGTTATTGTATGATGTTACAAATGTCTAATCGGTATTGAGTTACATAGGCAATTATGTTGGCCACTTTGAAGCTGTTTTTCATCCTGAGAGGTAGGGGGTTTGGGGGAACTTAGTCATTTTTTTACAACATTCATGTTCACCCAGGTTCTTACAATCTGCAATATACATTTCATGAGCAGTAGCATCTACATTAGCTATATATTTTATAGCTATATATTTTATGGACAGTTAGGAGCATCTTTCACATCTTTGATGGTATGCTTTTACTCCATTCAATATTGTGAACTATAAAACAATTACTATGGATCCAGAATTGTCTTTGGATACCCACATGAATACTCTGATACAATCCATTGATAGATATACTGAGATTGTGGTTCTTGTTTTTGTTAATCGCTCAGTTAAATTATGGTGATGCTTTGTTTTATGGTCTTTGTGATTCTAACTTAGGTCGGCTTCAGCTGTGAGGGCCGCCATATATTTGAAATCATTGGGTTTGACATTTGTGTATTGCCGGGGAGGGGGGGTGCACATCAGGGGCCATACTAAAGGCCACCAGGGGCCCATCAGTGGCCCGCTGCCCTTGGAATAAAGAACACTGGCTTATTCACACACGTCGCTCACAACGTACTGTACTCTTGTTCTTAAATCACTGCAACTTAGTTCCTTTTAAATTAACTATTTATTTTAAAATGAACTCCTTTATAAAAGCTTTTTAAAAACAACGGTTTTATTAACAACTTCGTTTAACTCACGGTCGAAAAGTACGTCCATGGCGCCTGAGACACGTGGTGCCTGCATTTTGTGCGAGCCGAGTCCACAGTTTAGGGACCGCGGCGTTTATGACCTACACAAATATATAAATAATAAGGCGTCCATGCAAAATGTTAATTGCTTTAAAGTAGCGAATCGATGCCGATTTTGATACAGGCATGCATTGTCACCGGATCTGAGTACGTGTGCAAAATGTGGAATTGATTGGACAACGGGAAGTGGACGAAATTTGTATTTCAAGATTTGACCACGACAGAGGAATCAAGTTAAGTAAAACCGTTGAAAAAACCCTTAATACTTATAATGCCCTTCATGGTCTTTGGTCTTCATATTTACGATAATTGTTGGCACCTTGTGCTCCTAGATAAACCTTGAGATCAGGGAATGCAGAACTCTTTTGTAGTTTGTAGAATTAATCTAAAATCAGTAACGGCAAGGGCTATTCGTTCCTATGCTCAGAATGTAGGCACAATAAAACATTTTTTATTACTTATTCGTCTAAGTTTATTTTTTAGCTGGATTGATTGGTCAATGGACTTTTCAGTTTTATTTTAAAGCATCCTTGGATTTTTGCACAAAGGGCACTTTAAAATTACGCTGTATTGTGCTGAAAATGCCTTAATAACTCCTTACTATTATGACAATGCCCACAACCATCCTCTCTAATGATGATCTCTGGACCAGCCATGACCCTCAGCAGTATATGTCAGGGTACATGATCATATGTGAGGATGATGCCAACGGTTTGATTTTTGTCAGGAGACTGACTGACAAAGCTCACCCTTTGTGCACCTCTGGGGCCCAAGCTGTGAATACTCCAGGTGTCTAAAACTCGGCCTGCTAGAGGCAGTCGAAAGTGGACAGGGCCACACTGGCCGGCTTCTTCCAGACATGCAATGCCATGCAATGACATCTTGACACAAATCTTTGTCAATGCAAGGTTGAATAAATTGTGCAAGTACAAAAATGTAAGCGCCTTGCATTTTTTCAAGTCAGTTATAAGTAATGTGGCATAAAATATATACTTGTATTATATAATATTGTTTGGCACATGGCAAGCACATTTTGAAAATTAACTTGTTTATTTGTGGTTTTAATAATTGTAAATATAATAATTATCTATGCTTGTTCAAGCAGGCTTATAGTAGTCTCTGGACTTGGTCAATGTCGCTTTTGTTTCAACCGACTTCAATAACAAACGCTTTTCCCTACCAACTGTACAGTGAAAAGTATTTTAAAAAAATACAAACTCCGGAGGAGACAAAAGTGTCTGCAATCTGAGATTTTATTTTTTAACACATTTTTTAAATGACAGATTTTAATCTAGCATAATCTGCATAAATCGGACATGTTTTATTTCACGAATAATGTGGTCATTATTTTTGGCGTTTAGTGAGATTAAGAAAAAATATCATGTTTCGTTAAATTAGTTCACTGTAGTCAGAAAAATCCAATACAATGGAGGCCTTTGCACCGAAGTGGAAAGTTACAAGACAATTAAATTACAGACCTGTAAAAGTTACAAGAAGCAAAAGTACAACTTATATATTTCTTTGATAGCGGCTTGTATAGAGCCTTACGTTGGCACATTTTAAAGAGCAAGAAGTGACCTTTGAGCCTTCATCTAAAATTTTTTACTAAAATTGTAAAAATGTTGCTGAAAGTATTTAATAAAAATAATGTTATTATTGGCCATCACAAAGATTTTGTCTCCAAAATAATTATTATTTTTGCATAAAACACACTTTGGGCCACCGCAAAATAATGCAATCATCATCAGCCATTGTTTATCCACTGCCGGATGAATACCTCGCCATATAATTAAATCACACATGCAATTCAGATCCAAATGTTTAATCACAGTGAGCGCAGGGTGTCACTCTTCGTGGAGTTTTTCCTGCAGGAGCTGATGGAAGGAGAATGGCGTGAATTTGTATCCAGTCCCAGTGTAGAATTTGTTCTGGAACTCCACCCTGGAAGGCACATTCACCCACATAGTCCCTATGAGTACAAGTGCACAGTTTGTTTGATGTTTTGCTTCTTGGATCTTCTACATTCATCATATATATACAACACAGTATGTGATGATGTACATCACAATTATTTTATTTAAAAAAACGTTTACTTTGGAAATTATATATTTTTGTAATTCCGACTTTATTCTTAAGAATAATGATTCTTTAGATCACAGTTCGTATTAATGCTTAATACCGAATAATCTGTACAATGACCAAAATTATGGTGGCGATTTTTTCATACGAATGGGATGATATAACTAATTGATATCAGAAATATAAACGCTCCATGGACCAATCAGAGTCCCGTACATTAAAACAATAATATGCCTTCTATAGTTTGAGGAATTATTGCTTTGTTGAAGTGCATGGTTTCCAATGGTAATAGCATGACCTTTGTTGTTCAGGAAAGCCACTCTGAGAGTCCTACTATGAGATGTTTGACCAATTAATTAGCATAAAATACAGACCAGTTATATTACGCCTCTGTAAAGCAAATTAAAATGGCTAAAATATATTTTAAACAGTGCAAGTCTCTGATAAACAAACATAATTATTATTGGTTCTTTCGGTAAAGTCACGTAGAAGGGAAACTAAATAATAAAAATATAAAACAAGAAAATTCTCACGACGTTTCGACTGCAACACAAGCAATCATCATTAGGTGTGAAAACCACAGCAAGAAAATTTGAAAAAAGTGGCGGTTTTCTTTACGTTAGCACCACGGAGAGCGATTTGGCAGTTATTCAGATGGACGAGTCCATCTATGTTCGGAAAAGAGGACGGGGGAGACGAAAATAATGGATGTAGTCTGAAAGCCACCGTAAACGTGAACAATCAATTAAGACCTGAAATGGTTTATCAAATTTTTCCAATGATTGCTAAGCCAGGATCCATCTTCTCGGTTGAAATTGTCTCAGTGTTTGTATATGTGGATAGCCTCATGAACGAATCTGTCATGGTAGCCAGATGGCTTGCAAAGAACCTCTGTCTTGGAGAAGTCAATGTCATGTGAGCCTACTGAATTATAACAGTGATCTGCCACGACCGAGGTGTTGGTCCTACCGTGTTAGAGGTCTGCTTTGTGTTCACGAATGCGGTCCGAGACATGGCGTTTGGTTTCTCCAATGTAACTACTACCACAGAGGCAACTTAGTTTGCAGACGCCAGGGTACTGTATGTCCGGAATCACATATTTTACAGACGGAACCAGATCACGGATTTTATGTAATGTGTTGAATCGGACCTGGATCCGTGATCTGGTTCTGTCTGTAAAAGATGTAATTATATAACCTTATAATATTTGTACAAATTGTATCTCAGCACTCATACTTTTAAGCTTATCCACTAAGTATAAAAATTATGGCTGCTTGTGAATGACATGGCCATACATGGATATGATGCCTTATCCTTTAAAATAACCAGCCAGGCTTGTGGTATCAAGATTAAACTGCATTCCATTACCCACCACTACATTTTCCAATCTCCCCCCCCCCCCTCCTCAGTACAAGGCTTTTTTTTCTCTCATGAAGATAGCAATCTCGCTTGCTCAGAGCCAGTACTCATTCAGGTTGGTCTCCGGCAGCTCAAACCAGGTTAAACCTGCTCCCAATCATTTAAAATATATGCTTACACAAAGCGTCCGCATGCACAACATATGCAAAAACATATAAATATGTACAATCGTGATTTGATTAAACTGATGTAAATTGTATTGTTTTTACTTCATTATAACGACAATATAATAATAGTAAAATACAAGTAAAACAGTCTGAGTATTTTCTTTAGAGAATCAGCAGGAAAATGGGAAATATGGGGATAGGATAAACATCAAAACATTCAAACAAAACATAAGGTACCCTACGTTGAGCTGTCAGGAACCCATCGACGATGTGGTGCAACCAGTACAAATAACAAATAATAACGATAGGACCATTGAAACATTTAAACCCATTGCATAAAAATGTAGGAAGGAGAAACTAGAAAATGATGCACTAAAGCTTATTTTTGTGTGGCAGAGAGACAGAAAAGGGGAACGCAGGAATGGGCCCCAGGTCTCACGAAGCCCAATCGATTCCTTCCGCATGGCCGAGCAAAGCTGCTCGAGGCAGCTGCTTTCTGCATCAACCATGGCATGGTACCGTACTTCATTTTCAAAGTATATATTTAAATATAAAGTACAGTATGTTAAAATCTAGTTAAAGTGTCAGGCACGAGACTGAAAAGGCAAGTATAAAGCAAAAACAAACGCACACCTTACATCCACATTTTTTTTAAATTATAATTTTGTCCCCCAAAACTATGGCCCAGAGATCGATTGGCTTCAATCATCGGACAGGCTCAGCCTAGAGTTATAAACTCCTTTAAGTATTACTCTATACACTTAAGGTATATGATTTCCACTAGCAGGAAAGCAAGTACAGTAATTTTGATGTTTTGGAGTGTATTGCTAAAGCCATTTGAAAGCAGGTAAAGCCCACTTCAAGTGACTAGCACATAATCTGGACAGTTCAACATGCCTTGTAAAGTGTTTGAGCAAAATTTTGTCTCATATTGTCCTGTAATGTTTGGTAGTGTAGCATCTAGCACACCGTGCTATGAACCTGGTAACCCGAGTTCCATTCCCACTCACGGCCAACACCAGTGACGATTATCTGAACTGGTTCGGGCCTCCCCGAGGGGGACACAGCTTCAAATGACTAGCTGGTGCGGTGTGTAAAAACATCGTCACTGGGGAGACAAAAGGCTATATGAGGGGGAGAGTCTTTGTAATGATTGGACCCAGTTTTGTAACTTGTTAGTCAAAGGCAGATTAAAAGAGGAATATAATGAGCCTGAACGTGAGCAGAAAGTGGAGGGACTCTACAATGTGGACGGCCAGAGGAAAGGCAATCTCAGACTTTGCAGGCAGCAGCAGAGAGGGAGCAACCTCCCATTGAGTGAAGGTTAATTGAAGTGACATAAGACCTTGGTTACGAGAGTGTGAAGGAGAGTAAAAGCCATATATATTACAGTGGAGAGGTAGAGTGGAGGTTGAGGCCATTGAGGATCTTGAAGTTGAAGAGAGTGATCTATCTTGCAGTTGTAATCTTCAATGCAAGAAAAAGGACTACAATACTGGAGTAGAAATAACGAAATCCCCAATATTTTAAGTTAAATAACTGCAAAATAATAGTTCATATTGGAATATGTACCTGAATGAGGACATATCTAGAATGTTCATAGATGCTCCATTTGGTGTTAATTAAAGACTCTAGACTCCCAAAAAGTATCAGGGAAAATCACACTATAAACAGACAGCATTCATGGGGACTTTTGTATCTCCAAATTTACATTTCAATTCAGTATCGTGGCTAAGTGATATAAACCCAACAACACACAGTTACGCCAAGGGTTCTAGCCAATAACAATGTTATATGTGTGTTATAGAAACAGTTGAAAATACATTTCAGCCAGTGTATAATACATATATAATGTCGAGGTTATCCATAACCGCTTAAACTATACTATGTGTCAACAACACTTGCAATGCTGCTTGGCTGCAACACAGCATTACATTCCTTCAAACTTAGCCAGAGGACAGACTCAGAATTGTTTGTTGAATCACAGTGTGTTTTCATAAAAACAAGATGCTTTTCTTAGTGTTGTATATATTCATGCTCTCCTAAATATCCCTGAGGTATATCTTTTCTAAACACGAAGAATGACAATTTCATTTTCAAAACGCAAGGGAAAAGGCTGGGTTGTGTTATCTTATATTGTTGGATTCCATGCGATGTGAACATTAGTAATGCAAACACTGACTGGTAGATGTTAACCTCTCTCATACTCCCAGTGGATGTGTAAAAAAGCATTCTAGCGTGTTTCATGGTATACTTTCGTCTTCAGTAACGATTCCTATGGACTGAGACAACATCTTTTACCATCCTCTGTAGAATTGGGGGTGGGTGGTACAGCCGTCCGTGGGATTGCGTGCTTCCTGCTCGTAATTTTACGTCCGGTTCTCACTTGTTCTGCTTATTCCATCCACGATGACTAAAAAAAAGGTTTGATTCTTGTGCAGTGCACACCTTTAGCAGGACATGTGAGAATATACACCACCTAGTATAGATAAAAGATAACTTAAGCGATTTCGGAAGTAGTTATATGATGTCATCTTCCAGAGGCCACTGCTTAACGTGCGGTATACACTGATTTTTACAAGCATTGCCATTGGAAAATGTCTGCATGTCATGTCTAGTAAATGCAATATGAATGGTTAAAAACAGGAAAAAATATCTTTAATGCACCCACGCAAGATGTAATTACGATTTCTTTTTTTTACTCAAATATTTTTACTTTCGTCATGATGCCGCTTAGCTACGAAACTTTGTTAGGTGAATACAAAAACAATAGCTGGGACTCTAAAAAGTAGGCAGAAGTATAGGTGAAATTAATACAACATATCCAAGTATCTTTATCCAGGCCCATTGTTTATCAACAATGCCATTTAGCATCAATGGTCTCACAGGGGGAAGACACAAACGCATACACTCGGTATGAGTGTAGCGCTGTAAATGGGCTACGTGCACTTACCTGCAGTAGCAGACAGGGCCCACCAGGGGCAGTAACTTGGACCGGCATGAGGGTCGCTACATTCCCCAGCCCCAAAGCGGGGGGGGGGGGGGCTGCGGGCTGTTCTAGGATCCCCCGAGACCCCCCCTGGAACTCTCTGGAAGGGGGGCGTGGCCAGGGGCGGACACACCTGGGGAGGTGGATAAAAGCCGGACCTCTGGACGGGTCCAGGGCCAGTCCGAAGACCAAAGCCTGAGACCAGCTAGCCTAGGACCCTGGGAACCCCCAGACCCGCTGCCCTTCTAAGGGCCGGGACTGAGAGGGCCAGTGGTTGAGACCCGTACCTTGGCTGGGTCGGCTCAGTGTGGCCTCCCCTAGGTCACCCTTAGCTGGAGGAGAGAGAG